AACATGCCCTGATAAATAAATTATGATAAGAAGCGACAAATACAGCGTGTTTCACAAATTTCGCAAAAACTACTTCGAGATCTGATCTGATCTGAGCTTGAAATCAAAGACTACGTTGTTTTTGTGATTATAATTGGTGAATTAGTGAGACAGAATGATCCAAGAATATTTGTCAGAAACTTTTGAGTAGCATACTCTTTAACAAAGTTGATATTAAAATCGCCCCATAACTTTTTCCTGCTTTTTATAGGCAATGCGTCAAGAAGATTAAGAATGTTCTTGAGAAAGAAGTGTACTATAAAAAATGTTAACTTCTCTTTCATTTTTGGACATACTATGAAGTTACGATTTAGAAACAAATATGGAGAAATAAACAGATACTGAATTAGGGTTAAAACTAGCCTTCGTGGCTTAATGGATTGAAACGTTAACAACTTACCATTTTTCTTTTAAAATGACCTTCTACAATTCAGCAATGCAATGTAATATAAATGTATAACGATTTTCTAAATTTCTCCAAATTTTAATTTTAATTTTTCCTCTAAAAACAGATTTATTCTTTAGTTAAAAAAAAAAAAAAATATGCGTAAAAATAATGTAGTAATTTTAAATTGTATTGCTTTGAAATTGGTAAAATTTGTAGATACCATTCTTCACAGGTCTATGACGGCATCGATATTAAAAAAAAATATTGGTAGATAACTCTTTCACATTCGAATTGAATTCTGATTTTGTGAAGCACGGCGAACCGGCAAATTGCTAAAAAAGTGTTTCGGTTTTATTTTACTGCACAACCTACAACATTACAAAATAACAGAGTGAGTTGAATTGAGAACACAAAGAGTTTTTAAATAAAAAAAAAGAAAAATAAGGGTCTGTTTGTGGACGAATTAAAAATCCGAAGAAAGTCCTCAACCTCGCTTTCATGGGACGAAATATGAATAACATTATATAGGTCATATTTCATTTCGAACATTTGTCCTATTTTTAAATTTGGGGTCGTAACAAAAGAACTCGATTCGGCTTGATATCTAGTAGGGTAAGGGTAGCCACATTTGCATATGTTGGCACCTTAATATTTATGCGTCCCGGAGGCGAATAAGCGCCTCTAAAAGATTAAAACAATTGAAAAGTGACGGGGACGGAAGGAGAAACAGGAAATATGTTAACCGAATTTTGTCGCCACTAGTGCGGTCCGAGATTAATCGTCAGTATGGCCACGGAAACTCAAAAGCAAATGGTCCCTGGTCTAGATGTGAAAATGATGTTCGACATTTTAGAGTTGGTTTTAAAATATATTTTACTCGTGAGTAATCTGTCATTTGTCTAAAAAATAAGATTTACAAAGTTTTAGCTCAACTAGATAACATCAACCCGAGCCTCATCGAGGTTAACTATGTACAAACAGATTTTTTATAAAAAACGAAAATCATTCGTCTTAGAAACTTGAATCTTGTTTTTTATTCGATAGGAAATGTGTTATATTCCATTTATTCCAGTTATAGTCCAACGGTTGGACTCCAACCCCTTTTTTTTTAAAATCTTATATTTATAGAAATCCATCCATCCAAAACAGGACATGATGCGAATACTCAAAGTCACCCTTATATTATATATAGCTAAGAAAAAATTAAATTGGCTTTTCTCCAGACCATAATTTGACTTTTATAAAGATTGAGAGTTAATGATGTAATTCTGTGGCATTTTATTTTGACTACTTTTTGCATATTATTATTAAAAAAAAAAAACATGAACTGTCAATATGAAATTTACAACTATTCCAAGCGTTAAAAAATCATTAAAAATATCAAGAAGTAGTATTTTAACTGTCATATGTATAAAAAATGTTAGTTTTTCTAAGGATTTAAACTGAAACTTTCTTGACTTTGATAGACGTCAAGAAAAATTAAATGCTCTCAATAATTATTTAAATTTTTCATTTATTTCGCTAAATTTTAAGTGCTTTAGCTATTTCTTTAATAATTTATTTTGTTTTCTGTTTTAGGTGAGTACTTCTCTCGAAAATTAAACCAGTAAGTAAAAAAATTGCTAAGCGATTCATAATAGAAGGAAATAATGCCCTGACAGGCATACCTACTTTAAAAATGTTACTTTTTCTCAGAAGTTTACACGTTAATAAAAACGGTTGATTTTAGGGTACAACTTTAAAGACTTTTTTGCTCCGTTTTATTACCTTAATCGCTTGTTAATTATGCGGGTGTTAACCCTAAAGCCCTGTAGACCTATAATTTCTCGCTTATTTCGCTAATTAGTTATGTAAACGACAATTATTATGTCGTTGTTTTTTTGTTTGTTTAATAAGTTCATATGAAGTTAGCAATTAGCGTTACAACTTTGCATAAATGACCCAGAATATTCCGTTTTTTCGCTAATTACTTGTGCAATCAACAGTATTGCCACGGTTGGTTCTTTTAAATACGGGATTTCTCGCTAATTTCCCAATACAAATACCGTTTTTGATTTGCTTTGAATAAAAAGGTTGTTAGAAAGTATTAAAACTTCAAATAAACCATTCCAGAGGTCACTGAAAGCAAAAATGAGATAATGATACCGACTGCGCCATGTTTCCAGGAATATCAGCTATATATACATTTTTTAGAAATTCCCAAAAAAAAATGAATTTTTTTAAACCTTTTACCCGTATTTCGCACATTGTAGACACATATATTGATAGAATCGATTGAAAGTTCCAAAAAAGTTTCCATAGTTTTTCAAAACTTTAAACCCATTCCATTTATCTAAATATGGTAACTTTTAAAACTAAATATACGTCATTTATACCTTTCACTGAAACAATTTTTCATTCCTACTTTTAGTTTAGCTATAAATCAAAGATGAGACACTACATTCATGTCGTAAAAATATCGCTGAGATCTGGTCTCTTTAGAATGTTCACGTTGTTGCCAATCTGTATCTGATGTATTAGAAAAACTCTTAAAATTATTAAAAGAGGAACATTCTCTAATTAAACATATATTTAAAAAATTTAATAAACTCTTCATAAGAATGTTAAATTACATATTAAAAGTTTGAATTTTAAAATATTCATTTTAGTACGATATTTATGCTAATATTTTGTTCACATAAAGCATAACACCGTGCTCGCGATAGGGATTCCACTGTTTTAGAATGCTCTAGAGTCTACTTAGTTATGATCTATAAACATTATTTGCTTATTCAGTAGTTTATTTTTGAATTTTTTAACATTTTAAAGAAGTTCTGGCTCAGTTTGCGTCACCTATGACATACCTTTCTAGATTTTAGTTTCTTACTCTGATTGTACTCTCTTGTTATTTCTACTATTTGCATGAATTGTGTTTCGACATATTTGCCAACTCTGTAGGTATATTTTATTCCCATTTATTTTCGTACCAATATTCTTAAAATAATTAACTATTCATTTTAAGCCTTACTATTATTTAAATTTAAAGTTTCAGATATATTCCTATTATTCTGATTTTTTAAATTAATAACTTAACTTTAATTTATTTTATAAGTTCTAAAAGTTAAACAAATGTAAAAATATTGCCTACAAAGCTAATGAAATCCAAATCCAATAGGAAATACTCTTTGCTGAAACATTCCAAACTACTTAAGGCTTTAGATGACTCCACATTCAAAATTTATTCGTAGTTATAATTCGCCCCGAATCCACAGATGAAAATGCAAGGCAATAAAGGGCTTAAACAAATGAGTTTTGTAGTCGCTAAGGATCAGCTTATTTTTGCTGAAGATGAGGAAGGTTAACGTATATGCTTGAAAAACTGAAAATAAAAAAGAAATTTAGACATAAACGTGTCGCAGACACACTATACCTAGTTTTATGTCTATGTATACGAGGTCATCAAACAGATTTAATAGTAAACTATAAACACAAAAGAATACCAGTAGGTACATAGACATCTGGATCGATAAAACTATCAAAAATAAGGATGGAAAAAGACAGCTAAAATTTTACAATATAACAACGCAAGTAACTGTTTACTACGTATTAGTGGTGACATAACATGTGATTCCCTGATGATAACAGTGACAATATAGTTATTATTAATATTGATAATATTAAAAATATTAATATTAATAATATTAATAATATTAATAATATTAATAATATTAATAATATTAATAATATTAATAATATTAATAATATTAATAATATTAATAATATTAATAATATTAATAATATTAATAATATTAATAATATTAATAATATTAATAATATTAATAATATTAATAATATTAATAATATTAATAATATTAATAATATTAATAATATTAATAATATTAATAATATTAATAATATTAATAATATTAATAATATTAATAATATTAATAATATTAATAATATTAATAATATTAATAATATTAATAATATTAATAATATTAATAATATTAATAATATTAATAATATTAATAATATTAATAATATTAATAATATTAATAATATTAATAATATTAATAATATATCGATCTCTTTTGGGTTTTTTATTTTAAAAAATTGTGCTTATTTAAGATATACAAATGTATAATTTTACCAAATTTCATCAGAACTAAATATTTTCTGGAGAAATAAAAAAAATCTACAAAAGCTGTAGATGTTTGCTTGATCTACAAATTTTGCCTTATAAATTTTTGTTTTTGACTTTAACTTACGCTGGAAATCGTGATAATATCATTTTTTACCTCTTTTTAATTCCCTAAAACTTTACTTCGACCCTTCTAGGTTGCATTTAATTTAATTAATAATAACATTAATAATATTTATTACTAATAATATATTGAAAAAAATTAATATCTCGAAATCTTTTGGGTTTTTTTATTTAAAAAAATTGTGCTTATTTAAGATATACAAAAAATTCTACAAAAGCTGTAGATGTTTGCTTGATCTACGACTTAACTAATTATAAGCCCCTCTACCATATACACTTATCAAAGTTCAGTTAACATTTTTTTTTTCTCTAATTGAATTAATTCGACTGGTCTATTAATAAAGCCATAAAAATAAACAGCAAGACCTACAGGAAAATAAATATTTAGTAATTCGTACATATATTTTTTACTTTCTACAATAATTTACAATTCAAGTAGGTACAAAATTATGTCGGCATACAAAATAGAAATTCAGGTTTATCACAAGCATTGGTTTAAGTAACGGAAGTACAATAAAGCATATTATTTTCATCATCAGGTTTCTCTAAACGTCACCAAATATCAGAAATAGTTGGCAAATCTGTCGCTTCAAAGTCTTCGACGTACGGTTGTCTAATTCTTATAAGTCTTAATATGATCAACACACTGATTGCGAATACAACAAACGCGGACGACAAAACCAAAAATAAACTGCGATAAAAGTAGTTTTTCTTTTCACTTGTGTACATAGATATTTCTCCTTCAGAGACGTTCCACTTTATTGAATCCGGGAGTTTATCGACCGCACGTTCGTCAGGACTCGACCTCACCAACTCATTATGCCGCTGTTGGATAGCGGGAGTATTTTTGTTATAAGAACCGGCTAAATTCTGCGAGAAGTTTGACATGACACCACCGTAATACACTTCATTAACCGGAAATTCATCAAACTCATTAGCATTCTTGGCGGCTGGCTCAGATTTTATATTTCCCGAAAGTTCTGATTGCTCAAACGTATTTGCTTTAAATATATTGGATTTGATTGGCTTTTGTGTTGTAGTTGCTTTGCATAGCCAAGATTTAAGCGAACTAATTTCAGTCGAGTTAAATTTATTACCCCCAATGCGGAGCACTTTCAGCTGGGGTAAAAAGAACTGTAAATCTTGTTTTAAATTTTCTAAATTTCCGCCTGACAAATCTAATTCCTGTAATCTCTTTGCAGCCATTAGAGTCGCTGTATCGGACAAAAATTGCCGGGCTAATCCGGGACTGCGAGATAAATCAAGTTTTACCAGTCTTTCTGGGACGGCGAGCGGAAACGGATTGTCTTCATTTGTTGAAATAATTTCTATTGAAGACAGGCGAAGTGTTTCGAGAGATAAAGGTCCTGCGAAACTACCTGACTGGAGATTAATAAGCGGATTTCTAGACAAATCCAGTGTAACTAAGGAAATTAACTCACTGAAAGCACCCTCATTTATTACCGTAATGTTATTGTCATTAAGTAAAAGCACTTCGAGTACAGTCAATCCTCGCAGATCCTTTTTTGTTATCCTTCCAATTTCGTTAATGTCCAAATGGAGAACTTTGAGTTTTTCCGGTAACCTTCTGGGGATTTCAACAAGTCGATTGCGAGCGATATAAAGAACTGATAAAAACTCCAAACGCCCTAAGGAATCCTCTTCGACGAAGTTGATTTCATTGAAAGACAGATCGAGCGAGTAAAGCAACGGATAGTCGTCCAAGTCGCCGCAGTTTATCGTTCTGATCAGATTTTCGGTTAAATTGAGAGATTGGATTGAATGAGTCAAAGCGGCAGGCACCTGTTTGAGTCCCGTTAGCGAAGCGTCTAAACTTTGCAATTTACGACCCGTTCCGACGAAAACGAAAACATCGCGTGATTTTCCTAATTGTGTATTTCCTGCAACGAACAGACGTGCCAAATTCGGCAGTCGGATAGACTCGAAAGCGATTCTGACCAGCTGGTTCCGTGATACATCCAGATGCTGCAAAAGCTTCAAGCTATTAAATCCTGCACCGTTCAGAACTTTCAACTTGTTATTACTTAAATTTAAATATTGTAGACTAGGAAGGAGTAACAAATTTTCTAAAAAACTCAATTCATTATTTGAAAGATCCAAACTGGTTAATTTTTTTAAATTCGCGAACTCGCTGGTGTTTATCTGATAGAAACTGTTCGAACTGAGATTTAACCGTTTTAGATTGAGTGTCCTGAATAGTTTTGCATCTATAGATTCGATTTCGTTTCGAGATAAATCCAACGAATGCATTCCGATAAAGTCAGTAATGAATACAGGAACTGTCGTTAAGTTATTATCACTTAAACTAACTTTTTTTATCCATTTTAAATCGATTTCACTGAAGTTTAAATAAAGTTCACACGTTTTTATCTGTACACTGTAAATATCGGGAAATTTAACGATATTATCAGAATTAAACGCATTTAAAAAATTCTGTTGATCTACATTAAGATCTGTATTGTTATCGGAATCACAACTTAAAGATTGTTCTGGTAACTTTTCGCAATCGCATAAATTCGCACACGAATCAACTTTAACGCCAAACATGATAAGGGTAAATATCAGATTCAACATTTCTAACGCATTACTGTTTAACTGTATTTTTATTACTTCGCATGTTGAGCCAACGCACACACGTGTAATGCTACTCGAAATCACGCTGTCAACTGATTTGGGCAGCCGAAATCGCTGACACTCGACGCTCGCTGTAACGCAAGGATTCACTCATGATGTGCGCGCCCCAATGCGCCCCGATGAGTTGTCCCCGCTATGTGGTTGGCCGTTTGGCTTGGGGTACATTTTCCCTACCTTTTAGCTTTTTGCTACGAAGGCGTAAGGGAGAAAATTGAATCAAATATATATCTATATTTTTGTTAACTTGAATTATGAAGAAGGATTTGTTTGCGTTAACGCTGGAAATGGAAATGGATGAGAGATAAAAAAAACTTTTCAACGCATTATTGTTGCTTTTTAATTGGATGAAATTGTAATTTGTAAAAGAGCAGATAATCGCGACTGCTTTTTTGCAGAATAATTGGACGAAATAAAATTAACAGTAAATTGAAAAGTCAGCGGTTCAAATACCACCAACGGTTTGGATTTTTTTAATTAAATATATTTAAAATTATGATGCATAGGTAAGATTCTCAACCCCGATAATTCACTGTTGGGTTCTAATTAACAGTGCTATTCCTAAATTGATGCTGGGCAATAGTAACAAGGCATGTCTGTAGGGGTGCACGAATATTAGAGTACTAGTACTCCTGCACTATTATATTACCAGTACACTCTATAACCTACATAGAACACGAGGCTAATAACCTAAGTTGTCGAAGCCGAAGACACAAATATTAATAATATTAATAATATTAATAATATTAATAATATTAATAATATTAATAATATTAATAATATTAATAATATTAATAATATTAATAATATTAATAATATTAATAATATTAATAATATTAATAATATTAATAATATTAATAATATTAATAATATTAATAATATTAATAATATTAATAATATTAATAATATTAATAATATTAATAATATTAATAATCCCATAAAATGAACCCAAATCTGACACCTGAAAGGACAAAAGAAAGGAAGCAAAGAAAATAATATCGTTGTGGTACAGCGATTACCATAACAAACATAATGTCAGTTAATCATAGTCATCATACTCATTATACAAATTTAATAAAAAAAAAGAGATTTTAGAAGACCATAAAAAAATCTAATAAAATGATGTGGAAAAATCTGTCAAATGAACGCAACATAAAGGACGGCAAATTTAACAGAACACGCTACCCTGTCGAATTTATATTCGCGAAAGATGCTGAAAATACAAATTGTAAATGACTACAAAAATAACTAAAAAAAAAAAAAGAAAGCAAAGCTCCAGAAATGATAAAAGGCTACGACGAGAAGACGCCGTCTGGCTCACAAAAATTTAACTATATCGCCTCATACAACGTGCATCTTAAAGTGTTACCCCTGTTATCTGTATAAATAATTTAAAAAATACCGTAAAAATATTTAACGTATATAATGACCTACATTTCAATTTATGCATTGGAAGAACGTGTTTTATAGATAAACTAAAAATACCTAAATATCAAAAAAATAATAATAATTCGTACGATATAATTATCATTCCATTTCGATAATTCCTTTTTTCGAATAAGTACGTTTCATATTAAAATAAAATAATTTATTTCATATATAGGATGGTAATTTGATATATGTATATAAATAAAAAAATTCAAATTTGAAGAATATCCTTGTGCTACTTGGACTTTTGCCTGCGTATGTCATCTTTTAGAGACTCTATGTTACTATGGAATTAGCTTCGTATTTAAAAAAACCGTCATCAAAAAATGTCATTATCTAACGAAAGAAAAATATTAATTAGAAATAGAATTTATTCATCTTTGAGAATTATACACTATACAAAGACACTAGGTACATAATATAAAATCCTATCAGACTAGTCAAAAAAGTGTTAAGTAAATTAAAAAATAAAATATATATAATAGACAATTATTATCATCAAAAATTTAAGAAAGACATTATCTTTTGATACTTTAAAACTATGCTATTTTGATTTTGTTCATTCAACTCTACAATATGGGTTAATATTTTGGGGTTCTTCGCCATACTTTGAAAGAGCTTTTGTATCTAAAAAAAAAGGTTCTAAGATCCATGTATACGTTGACACCAATAACATCATGTAAATAACTTTTCAAGAAAACGCAAATTTTAACACTACCTTCCCTTTTTATTTTCCAACTAATTTTATACATAAAAGATAATGAGCATATATTTAAGAAAAATAAAGACCTGCACTCTTATGATACTAGATTAAAATTTAACATCCATCTACCTTTTTCACGACTACAAATAAGCCTGCATTCACCAAAATATATTGGGATTAAGTGTTACAATAAGTTCAGTAACATATTAGAAGATACTACAGGTTATCATCAAATTAGTCTTAAGAAAACATCTTAATGATTTTCTTGTAAATAATGTATTCTATAGTATAGAAGATTTTTTGAACTTTTAAACTAATCTTAACATGAATATAACAAGTACTTAATTTTGAAGTTACCATTTTTATATGAGCTTCCCAATTTAATTTGGGATCTAATATTATTCCTAAAAATTTTATGTCATCAACGCTTTGTATAGTTTTTCCGTCAACGTGCAAATAGGGTTCGTAATCTGGTAATATGTTTTTGGGTAGAAATTGCATGAAGTTTATTTTTGTTACATTTAATGCCAGACCGTTATCTTTACAATACTGGTTAAACTCACGAGATGCCTCGTTGCTACTTGAAATGATCTGTTCAATTTGATCATCTGCCATTACAATATTGGTATCATCGGCATATTGAACTATTTGTTGAGAGCTTAAACAAAAATTACTTATAAAAACTATAAAAAGAAGTGGGCCCAAAATTGAACCTTGGGGAACTCCTATTGTACATGGAAGAGGATCAGATTTTAGACTATTTGTTACAATTACTTGAGTTCGATTTATTAAGACTGTATCCATCATTCATAAGGTTTCTCTCGTATTCCTAACCCATTCATCTTTAATAATAAAAGATTATGATCCACCATATCAAATGGTCATAGAAGGACATAGAAGAGTCCGAAAATATGTTTTTTATCATTGAGTGCTTGATATATAAACTCTAGGCAAGCTGCAATTGCAGTAGATGTTGACTTATTTTTTCTAAATCCGTTATATTGTGTTTGCAAATCAGAATATTTCGTTTTTTCATTTTTAAGTTCAACTTTTAAGATTTCTATTTTTTCACTCATTTATTGGTTTGCTGGTTTTTGTTCTTCTACTAGTAATTTTAAAAAAGTTGTAAGCATCAATGCAAAATACATCACATTTACTTTTTTCGTGATCCATAGTCTTAGATTTTTCAATAACTTTTGGTTTACAGCATCTTATGATAGCATTTACTCTTTATGCACACGATGGATGATATTTCAAGTCACAGATTTTACATTTTACATTAGCAGTTACTGATTTTTTACAATAATTACTCTCATCAGTATTTTTCGCATGCGGTTCAGTCGGCGCCATCTTACTTTAGATGAAATAGAAAACAATATTAATCCAAAAAGAGCTCCTGTTTTTGATTTAATTACCGGTGAAATTTGAAACAACTTCCAAAAAAAGCAATTCATCTAATTGATGCATCATTTAGCCTGGGGTACGTACATACCTAAGCTATGGAAAATAGCAGAAGTCATGATAATTCCAAAACCAGTCAAATCACGCAAGTTTTATCATACGGACCAATTTATTTACTCCCTGTTATATCGAAATTATATGAAAAATTAGTTATTGTATAAATATATTATCGTAAACAATTTTTTTGTAATTTGAGCTAATGCAAGCGCAGACACATCAGATTTTTATTTCTGACTAGGTACATTTTGTTATAAACGTTTCATTCCCTGTTTTAACCCTCGGGCAGACTAATTATCCCCTTGAAAATTTTAAATTGCAAGGGTAGTCGATGATAGCTCATTTAAAAGGGTATTTAATATTCTATTCAACGGTGTACAGAAATGTAAATTCGCTTCATTAGTAATTCAATTTTGAAGCAAAGAAAATAATAGATTAATTTTACTCAAACAGACAAATTCTGCTTTTTCTATTCATTTTGAGACTTTTGTCTCGAGAGTGGCTACCAGATTTATCGATACTATCCATAAAATCCATAAAATCCAAAGTCTTATTTGGTTATTTGATGAGAGGTAGATGTCAAAACGTTACACAGGTTAGGAAAAAGGTAGATGAGCCATAAGATAGATGATGACACATCGAGTACATAGCCGTCTCTATACTTTGTGTAGGGGTAATACAATATAGCGAAATGCTGAACAATGCAGCGAAATAGTCACCCTACGCTTATGTTTAGGAGGTATACTTGCAATTTTTCCTGCCATATCTGTTTTATTTGTCTACATAAGTTACTGTAATAGTTGGTTACTTACAATCACCATCAAAAGTAAAATTTGGGCAACAGAAATATAGTTATATACTACTTTAAGCAGATTGAAAGGAATCACAACAAGGGTTTTGATAAGAAAATAGTCATGAATTAAAAACTTAATATTAAAAAAAGGACGATATTAACAATTCTAAATTGCACATAATTCTTTAGTTTATGTATAAAATACAAATGTATTTAATCTCTCATTTGAAAGACTTCAAAGCTAATTCATAATTAATGTCTGTACTCTCTAAATCCTCAATTAGCTTTTTAGGTACCCTGGCAAAGCCGATTTTAAATTGGATAAAGTTACGTTTTTCTGTAAATGAAAACATTGTCATGAATAAAATAATTAAATATGCCATACAAAGATGTCCAGCAATTTGAATAACCAGATAATTTTCGTAGATAATGGTTTAGATAGTTTTACATTTTTTGAGGGATTAATGTGATGTCTTCTATTGGAAACGGAATTATGCTTTAGTAATTTAAGTCTAATAAATTCAGAAATGGATTTTGATTTGTATCTGTGTACCGGGTTGTCCAATAGAATGGCTTTCGGCAGACTCGGATTTCTCAGGAACTGTTTATGGTATATACAGTTTCTGGGAAAGAAATTATGTAGACAATGACTTATCATTAATGAGTCACTTTAGTAGACACAGAGTATTGCAATCAAATAAGTTTTATTTCATTTAAATAATTAAAAATGGTTTTATTTATTGTC